ATAAATCACGAAGTGGACGAGTTTAGTAAAATTTTATAAACCGCGAAGTGGACGAGTTTAGGGAACTTTTATAAATCGCGAAGTGGACGAGTTTAGTGAATTTTTGTAAACTACGAGGTAGACGAGTTTAGTTTAGTAAACTTTTATAAACTACGATGTGGACGAGTTTAGTGAACTTTTATAAACTACGAAGTGGACGAGTTTAGTAAAGTTTTATAAACCGCGAAGTGGACGAGTTTGGTGAACTTTTATAAAAACATTTCATTAGCAAACTACGAACCTCAAAACTGCTTTAGAAACTTACAAAATGAAACAATTGGTTGAATAATCGCCAATTTTTTCTATATTTTTATTAAAAGAATGATGACGTTTCGAGCTAGCGAAACTGTACGATCTCACGAAGAGGGCTAGCTCGAAACGTTATCCTTCTTTTAATAAAAAAAACAAAAAAAAAACGTGGCGATTTTTCAACCTATTATTCAATTTTGTTATTTTCGTCGCCTATGTGATTTTAAGTATATTTTTAGAAACTTACGAGCCAAAGTGAGCAGTTTAAAAATTGAACAGTTATAACTTAATCCTCCATAAGTTCAATCTAGAGATTGAAGAACTTATAAATACCTCCATCAATGGTCAAAGTAGATATGTCATATTCTTTCACCGTGGAGCCAGCACTATTATGTGCTGTTACCCGTAACTTATACCACGTGCCTTGTGATAGGTCCTGTATTACCACGTGGTTGCGATGACCTTTCAAATCCGTTGTAGTAGTAGCCTTCCAGTCGTTACTGAAAAGACGTTTGTACCTGACAATAAATGAGTTAACTGGACATCCACCACTTTCCCAAGCGTTCATTTGTAGGCTGATGCACGTGGAGTTCGATGAAACAAAAGTATTAAGCGAGGGAGCGACTGGCGCTGTAAAAGACACAATAAATAAGACAATTAATTCTAATAAATATTAGAAAATTTTATACAACTTAGGATATAATTATATAAAAATACTTTAAGGCTTAGCTCTCTACTTAACCTTACCTCTTTTAACTCCACCAACTTGATTATTTACCAGTTATTGCCAGCAGGGTCCATATACATATCTAATCTATATAAATGAAAATGTACGTCGCGTCACATCACGCTAGATTTCTCGAAATAGGAGGAGTCATAACAGCCAGTGTGTGACACGTTACTCTTGATTTCTTGAAATAGGAGGAGTCATAACAGTCAAAATGTATTTATCCAGATAGAATAGTTCGATTACTGCCAGCCCATTACGATTTTAGTTACGGGGGTGCAAGGGTGCCGTGAAACCTTATAAGTGTTGTGAGTGTTGATATAATAAGTCTAAAGTAAAGACGTAGTGTGAGATCACCTAGCCTTGAGCCAAACTTAAATCGTTTCTGTATTAAGCTATTTTCTGTTATGTCACCAACGTTTTTAATAAACAAAAAACCTCTTTAATCAACGGAAACTCTAAATTAAGAAATCAACAAATATTTTTCCAGTTTTGTTGTTTATACATTTCATTTTATACTTTCAGTACACAGACTAACAACAATATTAGGTTATACTTTTGTTGCTAAGCAACATGAAATAAAAGCCATTGTTTGAACCTAGTTCTACCAAAACACACTGGCTTTTCTATACATTAGAAGTTGTTAATCTAACTTATTTTTAACGATAATTATTTTATGAATACACCACGAATTCATTTCATGAGTGATCTTAATTTTGATTGGCTCACAAATGAATTTACCGACGTTTGGCTGCCTCGACTACACTTTTCTGCCTCTTTGTTGGTCAAGCTTGATTTCGCAAAATCTGTCTATTTCTGTTAGCTATGATATGTGAGGTTAGGGTATAGTATGGGGTGGGGGTGACAGTACTTGCCCCGTTAATTTTGTCGGGTTATACGCTAGTTAGTACATATTACTAACTTTTTCTGTTTTTGTCTGTTACATCACCAAGTCTAAATAGTTGGCCAAACAAATTCGCCGAGACTGATTACAATATTGATGTTATTTTTTTTTATGTTTATGTGCGACTCATGTTATTAGGAGCCCTGTCACGAACGGAGCCATGGACCTACGCAGACCGAATTGTTTTATTAAAGCAGTGTACGTGAGAAAGCACTGGGTATTTTCAACATTTTTAGCATAAGACGAAAATCATTTACAAATATTTGCGATTTCTATATAAACGTGTCTAACCTCAATTAGTTTGATAAAGTAACAATGTGCGACGTGAGATGGCGCTAATGCTGACCAATTCAAGTATTCTGACGAACATGAGCCATCTCCATCCTGTGTCTTGTTTCACTCGTTTCCTTCCAAGAGTCTTATATTTTAAATACTTTCTTGATGTAAGTGCTGGTTTTTGTCTCAGAAAAGTAATAGAAATATTTCAATGTTTCTTTTTAAATTTTAATAATGAAATTTATCTATACTAAGTTTCCATGAACACAAAAGACACAATTATCATTAATTTATGATTAAAACAAGCTGCCTATATTAAAAAGTAATTAATAGCGATAATTTTATATACTATTCTTACTGGATTCATCAGTTGGGTGCTCTCGCTGTTAGCAACGTTTTCGGCAGTAATCCCAATAATATCTCACAAGGTTGTTTGTTATTAAGCACAAAGTTACACAAAGGGTTATCTGTGTTCTGCCCACCACGGGTATCGAAACCCGGTTTCTAGCAATATAAGTCCGCAAACATACCACTATGTCACTGTGGGGGTGGGGGGCGTCTCACAAGGTTCACTTACCTTAGGAGAGTTTGGTACGACCTAATTAATATACTAACCTAGTGATGTAAAATAATGTTCATAATATATGTATATATAATAAAAATGAATATAAGTACATTTTATAGATTAAACATTTTAACTAATGTTGCCCACGAGATTATAGGATGTAAATGATAAACCACAAAATTACTTGTTTTACCTCATAAACTGATAATCTATCCCTTGAAATAAAATACACGCCACAGAGTGGAATCATACTTCTAACAGACACCATACGGAGAAAAAAACAAATCTTTTTGATTTTTACTTAAATACGTCAATATCTCATGTTTCTTTATTTTTCTTTTTTGATAAACTAAGCTAAGTGGCGCTAAAAGAAATAGAACCCATCTTTGTATCCTGAAGAGGTATTATTTCTAACCTCCTCCTCTTGTTCGAACAGACAAAATATCGCTGGGATCCCCCTCGCTTTCCACCCCAACAGCAGCGACCTGAATTTGGTACTTTGTTCCACAACTCAGATTTTCGACTGTGTACATGGTTTTTGAAGCCGGGGCCGTTTTGTTTTGCCACTGTCCAAAGTCTCTCTTGAACCGCACCCTATAACCTGGAAAGATATGCAATTCATTTGATAATTTATAGCACTTCTGTAAATCGTAAATTGTTTATGTTAGACATTAAACTAATACAAAACAAACATTATCCACGTTCTACGTTTGTGTGAAATGTTCGCAAAAACTTTCAATTTATCAGTTAATTTTCAAGGTAGTGAAGAAACAAATATTAACCTGAGCAAGGTGTTATTAAACAAGTCTTAACCTCAGCTTAACTTTTCCATCACAAAGTTTCTTTCTTCAAAGAGTGTAATGGTATTAGTTGAAAATCATTAAGAAACTGTGAATTACCAAAGTCGGCCTCAAATTTGTTTACTGTTTTTCATAAACATGTCTGTAGTATTGTATCAGCATTTTTAAACTTCGCGTCAATTTAGACAACGAAAAATTCTATATTAACAGATACATTAATAACAAACAAACAAAGACTTTCGTCTACCATTTAGAATATCTGGAGATAAAGACACAGGATTGGTTTGGTTATCTGTGCTGTGAGGCCTTAAATTTATCGCTGACCCACAGAAAGACGCGCTGGGGACAGATAAAATTATGGAGATTTTTTAAAGATAGATTACAAGTTAATAATTTTAGTGATTTTCGTTTAAAAATCAGTCTCAACTTTTTTGTACAATTTTTACTTAATTTCAATTTTACTTAATTATTTTGCTCAAGCTGCGAAACGAAAACACAAAGTAAGCAAAGAACGAAACGGAAAAATATAAAACAAATGGTGACTTTGTTTAAAACGAATTAAAGAAACTGAAAATGTGAAGTAGCTACAAGCATAATTTGGTTTTTTGATCATTTCGACATGCTCAGGTCTCGAAATTATTGTTTTTCGGCCACTGACCCGTCTCATGAGATTGACCGCGACGTGTTTATGAATATTTATTATTGCAGTCGAGAAAGCTGAGTTTCTGAAAAAGGTTTATAATACTTACAATGTATTCAACAAGCAAAAGTAATCTCGTATAATATGATTATTAAATAACCTGTTTCTTTATCGCAGTGAAGACGTATTGTTGTATATATACAACCAATAGTTTCTCAGTAATATTATGAAGACGTATTGTTGTATATATATAACCAATAGTTTCTCAGTAATATTATCAAGACGTATTGATATATATATAACCAATAGTTTCTCAGTAATATTATGAAGACGTATTGTTGTATATATACAACCAATAGTTTCTCAGTAATATTATCAAGACGTATTGAT